CCATATGAATTTAGGCACATGTGGAATACACACATTTTCCATGTATGTATGTGTCAAATGTATAAATGTGTCGATACGTACGCAAATTCATGTGAAAAGGCATCGGTGATTCCTAGTGTACATTAGAAATCGCTGATGTCTTCCCATATGAATTTAGGCACATGTGGAATACATAGACATTTTCCATGTATGTATGTGCCAAATGTATAAGTGTGTCGATATGTGCGCAAATTTATGTGGGCAGGCATCGGTGATTCCTGGCGTACAACTAGCTCTGCTGGTAAAAAAAAGCAAAGAGACGGTAATCAGAAACGGCATTATTTTTTTCCGTCCGCTTTTATCTTCGAGACTCGAGCCCACTTGAAATAATCGCATTTTGCGTAATCGAGAAAGCGATTCGGCTTTGTTATCTAACCGATGAAAGGATGCAATATGTCGTCGGAACGAAAAGCTGAAGCGACTGACGTATCTCCCTCGCACGCATGCACGCACGCATCCACGTTTTCGTACTAATTATTTAATCTGCATTGCACTAATAATCCGATTCAGTGAGGTAGTAAATTGGGGACAGTTTCCTGAATCAACATAACGAGTTACTTCCCATTCGACTATGCAACTAGTATCGCTCGTAACGAAACGAGTTGCGCATTGCAAAAATTACATCATCCGATTGCAACTTACATTAAACGGTGCACGGTTTTCCTGGAAAACGCGACCCGTAATTAGCCGGGAAAAAAATGGATAGATTAAGAGTAATTGACTTTGCAGCGTTGCCCTGTGGTACAATTTCACAAAATAAATTTCTATTGCCAGATTGTTTATACGATTCATATATTTTCCATCGAGAGTGAGATCTGCGCCTCGACTTATTAGCGTGCGACTTATCGCTACTCTATTTTACCTGAGAGAGACAGAGGAAATATTTGTTACAATAATTATTGAACAAATTATCGAGCAAGTTGAAAGAAATAAAAAGTCTGGTGGCAATTGAAATAACGAGCCCAGTCGCGATTTCATATCATTGATGGTAATTTCGATACGACGTGACAATTATAGAATAGTTTAACTCTTTTAAGGTTGCAATTAAAAAGAGTAAATGGTCTGCTGTACTAAGTTGGTGAAAAATGAAAGACAAAGCGATAGAAATACGTATCGCATATTTCGTTTCTTTCCGATTTAAACTTTGTACATTGACGCCACTTGTGTTATTCGCGAGCGATTGAAATGATCTCTTTGCAATGTAAAATAATATCACGACGCGGGAACGTTGAACGGAAAAAGGGGATTGGTCGAGAAGTTGTCGACTGTTTCTGTTCATCAGATGAAAAGGAGTAGAAAGGGGCGGAAGGGCGAAAATGGAAAGCATTTGTACTCGATCGCTAGCTCCGAGGACGAGGTGTCCGTAGGTTCGCGGGATAAATTCCCGTGGATCACTTTGAATTGAGCTACGCTCGATTTATTTAGCGTCTACTCTCGCGGGACAGGCTGGAACGGTCTGTCGTGCGGCTTCCCGACTTTCCTCGGCCTTCTCGGCCACACGTCGCGTAAGATTAGTCGCCTGACGCTCGCTCCGCCGAGCGGAGCGGAATCGAGCGTGTAGGTTGGGTCTGCTTCGGGGCGAGGTAAGGCTGACAAGCGTCACGTGGTGCGCCACGGGGTCTTAAACGAGGTTAATCGGCAGACCGACGGCGTCGGCGCAATGACGACGAGCGCACAAACACAAGCCCGTTGTCCTCCATGACTCCGCTCTTTCTCTATTTCTCCGTCCGTCTCGCTCTCTCTCTCTCTCTCGCTCTCTCTCCTGCTCCCTCTCCGTCCGTTTCGCGTTCTCGCCCTTTGCACTTTGGCCCTCCTTGGCAGTTCGCGCGGTCCGATAATAGGAAAAAGCGCGGAGTCGCTGTGTAGCGCGCTGCGCGCAGGGGCACGCGAGTGCCGGACTCGCGATTCAAATGCGATCGCGTATCGAAATGTTCAAACTCCCGATGAAGCGCACGGTGGTGCGCACAGTGCGCTCGCGTGATTGCCGCCAGTCCGCGCTGTGGTAGCCGGCGTGTTTGCGCCAATTTTCAAGCGGGAGAATTATTTTTCCCCCCTTTCTCCTCTTTCTCGTTTGTCTCACTTGGAAATGAGCGGGGCGGGCGGGCCGCGCGCAAAGATCGCGCTGCGCAACCGGCGGCGAACGGCGACGCGAGCGGAGGAAGAAGGAAATGCCTTTCGTGCGAGAATCTTTGGCCTCGCGCAGGCCAGGTGACGAACGTCGCGGGACCCCGGGGACGGAGGAAAAGAGAGCGCGAGGGTGGAGAACGGAGGACGCGCGCCAGGGGGATATCGCGCGTAGATCGCGGGCGTACACTTACCGATCAGCGGGAATATGCTGGGCTGGTCGAGCAGCGACTTGAGACTGTTTTCGACGAGGGTGGGAGAGGAGCGGTCCTTGTCACTCATTTCACGCACTGCGCCACGAAGCCTACAAGCGCACACCTCGGGCCTGCCGCAGCGCACACGCGGAGACGCGCACTCGATGGCACACACCGCGCACGAGTAGTATAGATTAGAGTGAAGGCACGGGACGGAACGGAGCGGAGCGGAGCGGCGCGGACGGACGGACGCGGAGCAACGAGCCGACGGGACGGCGTTGGCGTTGCGACGAGCGGAGAGAGAGAGAGAGAGGAAAGAAAAACGCGGACCAGGAATATGTGTACGCGCGGTGTCCCCTCGGCGTTTCCTCGCGACGGCACGCGCGCCCGCAGCCGCCAGTCGTGGTCGCGCGCCTCGTATACGTTATTACGTACGTGTCTCGCGGGTGCGCTCGGTGTGCGCGCCGGGACGGTGCGGTGGCACGGTCGAAAAATACGGACGGTACCGTCGGGGAGAGAGAGAGAAAGAAAGAGGGAGACAGAGAGAGAGACAGACACCGGTCTTGCGTGCCGCGGAGGAGAGGCGCTTCGCCCGTTCGCCGAACCTCTCACCACGTCGTCACGTCGCTCCCTCGATCGCACTATCCCAATCAGCCTGAAACGCCTGTACGGCCGAGCGCGCGCGGACCCGCTCCCTATACCCCGCTCTCTTTCGCTCTCTCTGTCTCTGGGCGCGTTAAAATAAACGCGGAGCGCTGGCCCCGTGGCTGGCGGTGCTCTTGAAAATCAATCTAAAAGTGGCTCGCCTCGTGGCGCGATCTCCTGGCCGACTGGTGGACCGAGTGCCGTTTTAAGCCTGCCGACGCCTGCCGCACTGATAACGAGCACCCGAGCTCTCGTGCCTTGCCTGCCTCAGCGTTATCAAGGCTTGCGCGCGCAATCGCGACCCGCTCTCTCGCCGCGACCCCGCACTAGCGGCTCCGCGCCGCGCGCCGCGCGCCGCATCGCGCCAGAACCCGACGTCGATCGGCGTCGAGTTACGTTCGATCGCTCGCTCGCTCTCGTCGGGGCAGTAAACTTGTAGAATTATCGGGACGATTAGGCGGTGTTATCAGGCGACGAGTTTCGTACAACGGATGGTAGCGCCGGTGGCATCGGAAGCGGGGGAGAGCTTCGCGTACGATTGAACCGACTCTCGCGATCAGCTCCGATCAAGAGATCGGGTCTCCATGTGAGTGGATGCTGGATGCTGGGGTCGTCCGGTCCAGATCTCGGTCGAAAACAATTGCAAAACGAGGCCCGGGAGGATGCCTTGGCCCGTCCAATATTCATGTTGTCGCGCTGATATCGCTAATATTACGATTACATCGAATATCGTTATGTCTTTTGAATCAAATTATTCCAACATCTGACCTAGGTTGTTTTTTAAACAGCTTCTGTCTCGCGAGAGATTAGATGACTGAGTCGGGTCTATACGAAACAGTTTCCAACGCCACAGCGCTACTATTCGTTTGACGAATATCTGATCGGTTCTTCTCAAATTAACGTCTTATAGTTTCGGCACGACGTGCTAGAAAACTTTAAATATTAAACCGATCTCGTTGACGACTCGAGCTATCATTCGACTGAACCAAATCCAATTGTTTTAACCCCGTTAAACTAGCCGCGTACACACGTCTAGATATCGATCAGTGGAATCTCGGCTGTTTGGAGGAAAACCTTTCTAAGCGTGACCTGTTTCAGCGTAAAAGTTATCATTGGTCATAAATGAAAGATACTTGGCACATTAGCTCGTTAAATCTATGGATTTGTAGATAAGATATATTATAGTTGAAAGCCTCCTATCGAATGATAAATGCTGCCAGATATGCATGTCTGGCTGCTTCTCAGTAGCTCTCTCTTCCCCTACTAGATGGCTACAGTGTCTTCTTTATCGCGCGAGGCTACATACGATTTAAGAGAGGATAATTTGCTGTTTGTAGATTCGAGAGCCAAAAAGTTCTCGTGCCAAAAAGCTGCGTAACACGACGGTAACTCGCAGGGATCACTGATCCACACAGTCATTTGGGTTTAGCGAACCCAACGGACATGAGCTCAGCGCTTCGCGGACATTTACACGCATTTTTGTAAGCGGTACACATTTGCGGCACTACCGAGCATTAGTTGACGTTAGGTCTTGCTGGGGCATTATAAAGATAAAATAAGATAAAGCGACTAATTAGAATATTCTTCAATGTCGCCAGCGGTAATTAACAACGTCGGTATTTTCTCGACCATACCTGGCATTTTTAATAATACAGACAATTTATTGCGAAAAATACCACCTCAGCCTGGGTTTGAACCTGGACCTCCTCCCTACACTCTAGGCGAGCGACTCACCAATTCGACACACTGGGGCACGTGATAAAGTAAGTTCTGTTTAAACGCTCGTTCTGGTCCTAAATGAGCGTTTAAGCAGAAAAACCGAAAATTGTGTAAACTCGAGACACGACCTCGCGAAAGAGTCCAACTTTTGTAAGGTTCATTTTGTGTGTAGAAATGTTGAGTGTATATTTTTCACATGATACGCAGTTGCGCCAAAGGGCAATTATAAATGTAGATTGTGGGAAAGCGCAAGGATAAGATGGGAAATGAAATAAGACGTTTTGGCTTGATATTCAGCTGTATTATATAATTACGCACGAATGAAAATGACAAATTACGCACAATGAGGAATATGTAGAGAACGCAATATTGTAAAGTCTAGAACTATGATAGTCTCAAATCATACTGTTTCATTACGTTAAAAGATATGTCGTCCTCGTGAATTAGAGTATATGGTCGTGTAACGATTACAGTTTCGTCGAAAAAAATGCTAAAATCGAGCATCGCGTCACGACCGCGGTGTAACGGCATTAAACGAGATAATTGTTGTGCGAATAATCAATTCCAATTAGATGCAAACAGGTGGAGTCAGGGTTGAAAATACTTTGCGCCGCTATTTAACATATACGAGACTAAAGCCTGATCTACAGTGTGCTCTGGAAACAATCTATTTTGTATTAGCAAATGAAAACGCTTGAAAAGATTTGTCGGTAAAGCGTACAATTGTACAATGTATAATATACAATTTGTTGTCAAGTTGCACAAATTTTTAAACGTATTTGTTGGCTACAAAATCGAATGTCTCCAAACGCAAAGAGCACATCGTAGATCGGGCCTCACAGAAATATAATACAAAAAGTGTTACGAAGGTATTTGTAGCAGACTCCAATTCATCGATTAAGATGGAAAAATTTAGCTTTTGCGTTCTTCCGAATCTAAATCGTCACTAACATTAAATCGTCTTGAACACTACGTCGCGATATATTAGTATAAATTATTAAACTCGCTTTAGTTACGTTCCGAATTGAATCAAATTGACTCGAGTTCAAAGATAATAAATTTATTATAAATAACGCTTAATTGTTCAACGATTGTCGATCGCAGGAAACGTGCTTAACTCAGGCTTCTTAAATTTGCCCGTAAATTTCTGGCAAACAAAATTTATCGTCGTACATGAAGTAATTGAGATAATCGCGACACGAGCGTATGTAGAGACGGGAATAGAAGTTTCATCGATACCGATATGCATGAGGTTCGTACCAACGATGAAACTACAAGAGATATGGCTGGATGCAAAATAGGATTATGCTATTCTTCTTTTCTATACTTACAGAATGGCCGCATCATCTACGAAACTCGCCCAGTTACGCGGGCGTATATCAATTCCTTATTTTCTTCATGCGCTCCCCGCCTATCCGTTAACACATTCCAACAGATACTTCTCTCGTAAGAAAGTTCAGCAAAGTACACACGAGTCATCTTATCGAGACAATCGAACGAATCGCAGTTTCTATCGAGCGCTTCGTCAGTACTACGGCTCTACATACTTTATCAGCGTAACAAAAGAAGCGATTGCGTAAGAAGTTATTTACAAAATTCCTGGATATTCTTATCTAAGTATCTCATTCCTGAAAATCGCGCTCGCGGCCCGAGCTAGTCTAGTCTGCGAGATCCAACTGAAACCATGACGATCGCTTGCGGTGGGATCATAATCGGCGGCGGTGTCCGCGACACCCTCAAACCCAACAGACGCTGATGGACTCGGTGGCGGTTTGCGGTGTACCGCCGAAGCTCGCTCGATGCTGCTTGAAGAGCGCCTGGATCTCCGCGGGCGTGGAGGACCACCGTCGGTGCCTGGTCTTGTCCAAAGGCACCTCCGGCAGGCCCACCTCGGTGTGGCAGCCCTTGACCGGCGTGATCGGTAGGACTGCCGAAGCAGGCAGACCTACCTCCTGGAACGAGCTGATTGAGAAAAACCCGCTTTCGCCCTCGGCGCTGCTCACTGGACTGCTCGCCGGCTTTACTTTAGATTTGCCGACTAATCCCGTAGATTCCTTCTTCTCTAACCGTTTCGCAGCCCTGCTGAGCGTGGAGATCGGTGTACCGTTGGACGTGGCTCCGTTCGATGACGCGACTATGTCCTCCTCCTCGGTCGTCTTACTGCTACTGGAGTTCCAGGAGGCAGTGTCGGGCGATCTTCTCACACTCGGTGCGAAGTTTTGCAGATTTCGAGTAAACTCGGTAACGGACGTCTTGACGAGGCTCGGTGATCTACTGTCGCCCTGCTGCCCGCCGCTCGATTCGTTTCCACGGCTGCTACCGGAACTCCCGGAGTAGGCGGCGGCTTCTTGCAAGGTTGTTGAATTGGCGAAGTTACCGCTCGGTAGCGAGAAAGACGCGTCGTGATGGCGATGGTGGTCCACCGTAGGGGAAGGAGAGGATCCGTTTTCCTCGACCGGCGTCATTCTCGCCAAGTCGGGCTCTCGCATCGATAACAAAGACTCGACAGTCCTCAGTAACCTGTAGAAACACATATTTTCCAGTAGTTACATACCACGTTGACGCTTTTCTTAATATAATGCTAAACTAACAAGGATAAAAGTGTTCACTATTCAAGAACCGCGTTCAAGTTCTAGTGGACACGGGCCTTTGCAATTAACTGACAATTAATCATTCAATTTGTAAAGAACGGGATTTTTAAACGTTTGGCACGCACCTAAACGCCTCCTGCGACAGCTTCTCCGGCGGTATCTCGTCCGGGTTTAATTCCGTCTGCTTGGGTTCGCGATAGACGACGTTATCAGGAACGTCGTACGTCTTAATGAGATCCGACGGTGACTTGATACGTGGCGACGTGCAGTGCACCGGGTCGTTTCTTCGCAGAACCGACCAGGTGAACTCACGGAAGCAGGTAGCACTCGGCGAGCCGATCTGCGTGACCGATTTGGCGCGCGTGAACGGCGAGGATGTCGACGACGAGGGCGACGGTGTCGCGGTCCCGCGATTCGGCGACAGGTCCCCGTGCACTACCGTGTGCACGCTACGGCTACGCGGCACGCGTCTCTTATCCTTGGGGTTCTCCTTGGCGTGCAGGATCTCCAGGCTCCGGTGAGCCCGGCCCAAGAAATGAGCGACCTGTTCCATCGTAGAGCGATACATTTGCCTGCTCGACTCGACCTGCGAAATACAAGCGCATCCCTGCTTTATTGCAGACATTTATTATTCTTTATGCGAGAATACCAATAGTAACATTAATAAAGAAATCATTTGCCAGCGGATAAATCGACGACATCTCCAAGGAATACAAGCAAGGGGAACAATGAAAAGTTTACAATTAAAAGTATGAATAGCGTATTTTCGGAATCGCGGATGCGCCGAGATCTAATCGATGGAGCTTTAGCTTTCTCTCAAAGATTGAGATCGGATGCTAAGCTAAGAACTAAGCACAAATGATTGTTTTTTATCATATAAAAATGAATCGTGACTTTACTTGAATTATCGAGAAGAGAGATTGTGGTCGCGATACTTTTTCTAAAATTTGAAATGCTATCGGCGCAAGATGTTAACAACGATCGCAAGATGGATCATACGTTGTAGGTTCATTCATCAAGTGACAATGAACGACTGGGAAAAGTCGCGGGTCGACGAAAATCACACGGATCGCCGAAGGAGGAAAAGTAGCCGATCGTGTGCCCGACCGGTTGTTACGTGACGCGATATCGAATAACCGGAGCGAGGTAAACCGGTTGGCCACGTTATCGGTCGCTTCTTCTCCCGCAGATCTTCAGCTATCGCGCGATTACGAACCTGTTTGACCTGCCATTGGAGCGTGTCGACTCGCGCTTGAAGAAAGACGTTCTGCAGGAAGGCGCTCTGCAACCTCCGGTTTTCCTTCTTCAACGACTGGCATTGCTGCAACGAGAAAACAAGACCACGTTACCTACGCATCCTCGGATCGTACCCCCCTCGGATACTTAAGATTTTAGATTGCGATTGACGCAACGTTGCCGTCATGACTAGTTTTAAGGGGAGAGAGATGATGGGGTTTGCACCATTAATTGAAAGATAAGAAGGGGCCCCACGGTCGCGGTAGATCCGCAGGACATTTTTCTTCGGGCGGGAATATTTTTCCCGGAGAGAGAGAGAGAGATTTCTCCGGACGGCATGCCGTTCTCCATTAAAATAAAGATACACGCGTCGCCCGCGGCCGCGAATTCGCCATGGCTTTCCGCGCGGAGACTTTCTTCCGACAATACCTCGCCACCCGACGTCTTCTTTTTCATCTTGCGCCGCGTGCAGTCGTAACTAGATTCGAACTCGTGGAGCGCGAGCGGACTTTATGGATCCATTGACGCTGCCTCGCCGCGCGCATTCCACCTCGCTTTACTGGCAAAAACTCATGTTTCTACCCTAGTAACGATCCGCCGGGAGGTAGAGAAACGGAAAGAGACGAGACGTAACGCGCGTATATATTTGCAAGGAAGAGAGAGAGAGAGAGGGGGGGGGGGAGGGAAAGAGAGACGGGAGACACGGACGAGTTGCGGGCCTAATAGTCGGTGCTTCTTCGAAATCGCGATTCTAACGAGGGTGCTACGGTGTGAGACTTGGCGTGCACGGGAATAGCGGTCCACGTGTGTCGCGAGAAACGGGATAGATGGATGGGAGAGATACGAGGCCGCAAAAAAACCGCGAGCGTCGATAGCTCCTCTCGCGATTAATCGCGCAGGACGCTGCCGCGGCGTGAGCGTATTATTACGAATTTTACGCTATTCCGCTAATTATGAGGAGGCACTTATGTCGATTAATAACACGTCCGACGATGTAATGGCGCCGATTTTAAAAAGAATGCTCTCCGTTAAACGAGCTATGTAATGGGGTCTTTGAGGTAATCCGCGTGCATCGGTTAATTAATTAAATGCAATCGTAATCAGCATAGGCCTACAAACCTCCTTCTACCCGACAACGCGCGCATACTTTCCTGCTTTTATCAATATATTCAACAAGATCGCGAGGGATTTGCTACACCTGCCGTACCTCTGCCGCTCTGTACGTGTCGTACGGAAATTTTATTCACCTTTTTGTATTCAGGCTTCAGGTTATCAGGCGGATTGTCTTCGCGAAAGTTAGGGACAGTTCGTCAGGCTTAAACAATTACGACACGTTACTGTAGCGAAGAAACTAACGATGACGAAACGAAAGAGCGGCGCGACGATCGTTAACGCCGAGCGATTCATTATCCGCGCCGCATTAGTTCACTGAGAAAAATTTTCATCGGATAAACCAATTAAATAGTATGTCCGATGGTTAATTTTTCCGATTACGTTTTCCGATTAAATTATGGATATATCCGATGAAATTTATCCGATGAAATGCAATTACCGATGAAATTTGATTGAAAAACCGATCAAATTTTTCATCGGATATACAATTTAATCGGATATATCCGTTTGTTATCATGTAATTGGATTATCCGATTATATTTAATCGGACATTTTTCTCAGTGTTATTATGCTACCTTAACAACTGGATTCTCCGTCCTGACGTGGAATATCGTACCGAATAGCGTTGCGAATAACGTTGTCGGCTTTCCAGGAGAATGCGAAGCGACGGCGAACGGGCGGGGAGACGGTCCATAAATCAGAGCCGCGGCGAGAAAAGGTCACGGAGGAAGTCTCGGAGGGAATCGGCACGGATTTAACGAGGTACGCTTCACTTTCCATGTTTTCCACGGGAGCGTCTGAACGGCTAAAATTATATATCTCGTCCCGCGATCGCCGGCGAAAAAGTATTCGGTATTAATTCTCCGACGCCGTCGTTTTATTCGCGCGTTCCCCCCCGCTTCCCTTCCACGCCTAATCGATATATCGCTCGATACCGTGCGGCGCAGCCGTTGGCCGCTCGCAATACCGATACGCCGTCCGATAGCATCCAGCGGATCTATCGATTCCGCATCTCTCAAAGAATTTAATGAAACCTCCGACCAAAGTCGAATGAGCCGAAGGCAATTTTCTATCTAATTTCGATAGCCATCGCCGGCCAGCGTGGCCGAGTGGGATCGTTGTAGTTATTAACGGTCGTCCTTCGGGGATAACTCGTTACGAGGATCAACCTTTGATCACGTCCCACGGTAGGACGCCCGCTTTTGCGGTTCACAATACCGCTGGAACGTTTCGCGCCATTGTCGCGGCACTTGCAATTAATTAGCATCCGACGAGAAAGCCGGCATCCTTGATCCCTTAAGATTTTACAACGGGGGAGCCGCGATGAATAGACCCCCGAGGCGGTTCTCGCTTTCGTCGAGGTTCCTGTCGCGAGACGATGGAGCGATAAGAAGGCGCGCTACTACCTACTACGCGCCGCATGCGTAAAAACAAACTTTCGTACGAGATTGCACGCGGCATCGCTGAACGACTAGAAACGAAGGAATACTGAATAATTCAGGCAGTGACCGTAGCGAGTGACGTCACGATAGTATTCAGCCGGTGGACTGTTCAGGCTGAGCGACCATGCGTGACCCCATCCGCTCGGCCGCCGCCACCGCTGCCGCCGTCGCCGCCGATGAAAATTTCAACTTTCCGTAAACGTGCCCTCGCGCATACGCACACAATCGACCCGGGAAAATGGAGGAAATATCGCCGGAGAAAAAAAATTTCGTTCCGATCCACGCGCGCGCGCGCGCGTTACGAAATCGCGAGACTCGGACCTTTCATCGCGCCACGGCCGTGCCGATTTCCGTGCCGATTTTCGTGCCGATTTTCGCAGATTTTCGTGTCCGTTACACTTGTGCCGTAATGCGTGTCTCGGTTACAACATTCAGCCCCTGTAAAAAGAGCTGGTGACGTGTCCTCGCCGTGAAAATCTGATCCAGACGCGAGTCTCGTGGACGCGCGGCTCTTTCGACATCTTTCATCCTGGCCTCGTTATCATCCAGAGGCCATCACCGGATATCTCGCAATACATACCGTCTTTTTCCCGCTATTGTATGGAAATGCTAGGAAGAGGTCTTTCTCGCCGTGTCCCTCGCGGAGCCGATCTGTTCGCGGTTACAAAGGATGAACGGAATAGAAATCGAAATACGACTATTATTAGGGACGACACCGGGAGGTCCGCGCTATTGTTCCGATATTCGCACCGTTCTCCAAATGGTTCAACGTCAATGTCAGCTGTCGTGCTCGATTGCAAGCGTTGGTATTCAAGATCTTATCTATTGTATGCATCCGTTCTCGTTTGCCTCTATCTTTCGTCGTTTGATGAGAGGCGTCGAAAATATTTAATCGTCCTAATTGAATAGACAAATATGTGTGAACCATAAATATTAATCGCAACGAGAACGCTTGTAATTAAGACTTTACGAAGAGTAACAATTAGTCCTGGAAGGCAAGAATTTTCTGGGAAAACATATTTTTCAATCGATTCTTCTGTGGGAAGGAATTTATTTCGATACGAATAAATAAACAAAAGGACCAATAATGACGAGCTGTACAAGGTGATAAAATTAAAAACTTGTATTTGCGAAATCATTTAAAAGAAACGAACGTTTCGACTGTTACAAAGTTTTCATCGTAGAAAGGAAAAATGTAAAAAAAAACAATTAGACATTAATTAAAATCGTCGATTGTGGCACAATATCGCGCGACGTAATTTATATTCATTTTCCACAAAAATATTTAAAAGAAATAGGCAATAGGAGTCGGCACAAGATGTTATGTGTGAAATATAATATATAAAATTTAATACTTCGAAATACAAATAATTGCGTCAGACGTTTCGATCACACAAAGTGGTGCTTCTCAGTGACAAAAAATATTTAAAGATTAGTTTCTTCAAATTGCCAGTATAATAATAAAATTCCAAATTTCATTCGATCACAGCTGGCCACAATTCGACCACATGCCGCAGTGGTCGAATTGGCGAGAGCAAAAGAGGTCCAGGTTCAGAGCCTGGCTGAGGTAATATTTTTCGCAACAAATTTTCTACATTGACCGGTTAATTAGCAAAAAATATGTAATTGCTGTTTCTTCATGCGCGCCTTGCCCTCTTCAACGTCGTTTAGAATCAATAATTAGATTTCGATCAAGATGGATGCGATCGCGCGCATTCCTCGCGGGTCCTGTGCCCTCGCGATGGAACGACGCTCGAATTGCATCTCGCTCCTTTCACTCGTTCCCGCGAAACGTCTTTTGCGACCCACGCGCGATACGAGACCGGCGATCGGCTCGCGCGAACCGAAATTGCCGAGGTTTCCTCCGTTCGGCTTCGAAAAATTAATCTGGCTTGTCCGGCGCGTGAGAACCGGCGCTCGTAAGTAAAGCGGCCGCGCTCGCCGGCCCGCTCGTCGTTATAGAAGCTAACATCGAGTTTCACCTCACGTGGGAGATTTTCACACGAGAGAGGATATATATGTACATATACACACGGAAAGCGATGCGGAATATTTATCGCGCGCGCGTTGGCGTAGATATTCGTTTCTGATTGCACAAAGATTAATCTGTAATTTATACGGCGCGCACGCGAGGAAGCGGCTGCCTACCATATTTCTCGCAGCATTTATTTTATATGCATATATATGGAAAGGAAGAAAAAAAGAATTGCCGCGAAGCTATTCGAGCCGCGCTCGCATCGCACGGCCAGGCCGACGCTCCGGCGAGTCGATTTTTTTCTCACTTTTCCTTCTATTCCGCCCGTATCCTTGAATGCCTGGCATTTGCCGATGCGCGTGGGAAGAAGTTGATGAAGTTCCGCAACCGATATACGTACTTGCTACACGTATTAGATGACGTGAAGGGGAAGGTCCTGCGGGCGCGCGCACGACGTTATAGTGCGCCTTCGCGGATTAATTCTTCATTTCGTGCGGCCGTTATTGGAATCAGAGTGAAATTGCACGGGCACCTCGTAAATCCGTATCCCCCTTG